GAAAAAGACACATCAAACTCCTTATCTGTTTCATTTTGGCAGTTTCGGAGAGTTCCTATTTAAGCTTACATCTAAATAAGCATTCTCATTTTATCACTGCCGGTTTTAGAGCAGTTAGTTCACTGGCACAATCATCGTATTACTCAAACATATAAAAACCATACGATAGGTTAGGGCTGTGCTGCTAAGCCACCTGGGCTCCCTTCTTCATTTAGTGTTTCTGCTCCTCTACATTGGAGGTCTCAAACTACAGGCTCATGGGCCCATCTCTGACCCTGGGTCTATCTGATACTGAAAAACAAAAACAAGAATTAAGAAATAGTTGCTACTATTAAAAGGAAATTGTATCTAGAAACCTGATGTCTTATTTCCTTTGGAAAACCGGGCTTACTAAAGCTCTAAGGTTTCTATTTTCACATGAGAACCGTGTGAGGAACAGCTGTTCTTTTTTATCATTCTTTCCACCACTCTGTCTCTTCAACACTGAGCCTGATTTGGGGGACATTTAGCCTCATAATGGTGCCAGGGTTCCAACAGCCAGCTTCACTCTTGTGTCTACCTGGTCAGTAGAGGCACTGAGTTTGTGACCCCTGCTGGCTACATGTCCCCTAGGGATCTCATCAGCAACAATGTCCACCTGTGGGACTATTCACTCCATCTGTCCTCCTAAAGCATGTTGTGGGACTCAGACACAACACTGTGGCCATGTTAATTGCATAGTTGTTATCAAGAGTAGGTATGTTTATGGGTTATGTTTTATTCATTTGGTCAATGCCAGTTTTCCCTTGCAAGGAAATACCTTTTAGAAGGTAGGACCAAGAAAAAGAAAAGGGTTTCTGTCTTCAATAATTTTTAGAACATAGAGTCTTTCTCTGTTTGTCTGGGCTGCAAGGAAGTTCATAACTCAATTTAACAATGTGTCACAATTCCGGTGCTATTTCTCTTACTTGTGTGTCTCTGATAATGATATCAACACTGATTACTAAGGTGAACGCACATATATGCATGTACAATCTTCAAGTCCATTTTGCAAGAGACTGGGCTTCAACACATCAGAGTATAAGTGTTACTAATGTCTCAGAACCATCCTCCACACTGACAACAGATATGTGTCTGCAAAATACCAGACTAAATCATTATTCCCTTGCTTATTCAGGAAGGGCTGTCTGCATATCTACCTCTTGCTCATAAGGAATCTAAGTAATTATCAAAGTGTCCAAAACCCTTCACATTTCCCTAACCTACCTTCCTATCCACATATCTGTGAAGTCACTGGCCCACCTCACAGAAGGGGGATGTGGAATGACTTCCTCAGAGTCGCCAGAGGCAAACATTTTATCTAAAAAACTTAGTGTCAGGGGCACCCGGGTGGCTCAGTTGGTTAAGCAGCCGACTCTTGATTTCAGCTCAGGTTATGATCTCACAGTTCCTGGGTTCGAGTCCCACACTGGGCTCTGTGATTACAGAGCAGAGCCTGATTTGGATCCTCTGTCTCCCTCTCTCTGCCCTCCCCCACTTGTTCTCTCTCTCTCAAAATGAATAAATGTTAAAAATAATTAATTAATTAATTAATTTTTTTAAAGTAAAAAAAGAAAAAGACCTAGTGTCCAAGGTCCTGAAGTATACTCTAAGAACAAATGATTTCTTCCACATCTAGGATCTTCATTCTCTTTCATATATAATTTAGGGTAGAGACCATGTGACACGTTCCTAATTTGCTATTGGTAATGTCCTCTGAGCAGTGGGGATCAGATGGGGATAGGGGTTGACTACTCTGTGTAACTGCTTTTCCAACACTGGAGGCCCCGGTGTCTCTAGGGAAAGGCCAGTCAGTAATCCTGTCAATAAGGTGAGCCAGGCTCTGGGCAGAGACCGGCTATCCCAGATGGCAGGTGCCAGTTCCTGTGACCCCGGAGTGGCCTCCTGGGTCAGCTCTTCTCCACCCCCCTCCCAGCTGGTTTTGAGACAGGTTTTAACAGGTAAAACCAGATGCCTTGGCCTGTCTCAATAAAAGGCCAGCGACACACAGAGTCTAATTTGTTTGTCATAGAAGGTGCACATTCAAATAGTATGTTATATTCATTAGTCTTTTGAGGGCAAGCCAGATTTACAGCATTCCACTTTATTTTTCCCCACCACAAATGTGTGAGCATGCATCCTTTAGTCAGTCCTCTCTCTACAGCATGGCCTGATTAACTCAGAGACTGTCATTTATTAGCAAGAGAACTAATGGGAGGATATTTGGAAAAATAAGATATTGTAGAAGGCCAGAATATTTATTTGGGTGGGATCTCATTCAAACCTGAGCTGGCATCATACAGAAGAAATGAAGACCTACCGAAATTCCTTTGGGAGGGGCCAAGCCCACCTTTTGGCTACTTTCATCTCATCAAATTAATCACCTTTTGGATCTGTTATCTTTGTCATGAAAAAGGTCTGCCATTAACAAAACCTGTTCCCCTTGGAAAACTATTAGCTTTCAGCGAATTAAAGTTATGGGGCACTCTGAATTAATTGTATCCTGCAAGGGGCACCATTTGATAATTCACACTCTCGTGGGAAATATTGAAAGAACCTTTCCACAGGCAGTAATGTCACATTCCTTATTATAGCTGGCATAACTTTAACTCTTACAGGTTTAATTTTTGGTCCCTAAAGGACGTGTTTTTCAGAATGCATAAAGAAAACAATGTATAAAAAAAGAAACAAGTTATTTTCTGCAGTCATAAAAATCTATTCAGGTGAAAATTTTTTCAAGTACAGTGATATTTTTTAAAAGGTCAATGACAAGAAACCTCTATTTTGCATCTATATTTCATATATATATATATATATATATATATATATATAT